GGAGATCCCCATGCCCTGCATATTTACTTTGGGACTACAGAACGATATTCCGGGAGGTCCCCCTGCCCTGCATATTTACTTTGGGACTACGGAACGGTATTTTGGGAGATCCTCCTGCCCTGCATATTTACATTGGGACTACGGAACGGTATCCGGGAGATCCCCCTGCCCAGCATATTTACTTTGGGACTACGGAACGGTATTTCGGGAGATCCCCCTGCCCAGCATATTTACTTTGGGACTACGGAACGGTATTTCGGGAGATCCCCCTGTCTTGCATATTTACTTTTGCGACTATGAGGCGATACCTTGGGAGATCCCCCATGTCTTGCATATTTACTTTTGGGACTACGAGGCGGTACCTCGGGAATGCCCTTTTGTTGATATTTTTTATGGATGCACTTGCCTTTGGTTATTTTGTTTTTCCATGATATATAAATTCTTGTGTTCTTCCGTGATGTATTATTTGATTTTATTATGTATTTTGTATTTCTTGTTGTATTGTGTTGGCTTTGGCTCTTTGTACAAGATTCTACAGATTTGTTTTTACCCGTTTTTACTAGTTTTCGAGAATTGAGTTGTTTCGAATAAAAGAAATTGCTATTATGTTTTAATTTAATAAATTTTATATCCAAATTAGTAGTTATCAGATGCTTCATTTTAATTGAAATGTCATTTTCTTTACCCAAACGAGTTCAAAAATAAACTCATTTCTTGATGATTTCTCACTTGGTTTAAAAATTATAAACTTACTTTATTGAAAATAAATTGTTCATGCGGTTGTGATAGAGAAATTGGCACGAGGTGCCGTGGAAATATGAAAGTGGGCTGAGACCCGTATTTTATGATTTTGAAATGATGTGTCACATGGTGACTTTTATTGAAAGAAATTTATTTGAAGAATTTTATTTGAAAGATATTTATTTGAAGGAAAGAGATTTGAAAGAGATTTATTTGAAAGAATTTTATTTGAAAGTATTATATCCTAAAGATTTCTATTTGAAAAACATATAGGCGAAAGATTTATATTGGAATGACTTGATTAATTGGTTGTACGTGTATTCATTATTTGTTGCACAATATTTATGGTGTTCTTGTCGCTCTGCTGTTTATATTACTGGTTGATTATTATTGCCATTATAGTTATTTATTTCCTATTATTTTTGTATGCTATATTACACAGGTTATTAGGCTAGTGAGTGTCTTGATTGTACCTCGTCACTACTCCACTGAGGTTAGTCTTGATAATTACTGGGTACCGACTGTGGTGTACTCATTCTACACTTCTGCACATTTTTGTGCTGAGCCAGGTATAAGAGATGTCGGGCTTGAGCAGAGTTAAAGCGGGATCGTAAGGATTCAAGGTAAAGCTTCTTAGTCGTCGCAGTCCCTTAGAGTCTTTTCATTTTATTGTACTGTTAATGTGTAATCAAACAGTATTGTATATTCGGTCCTCGTGATCATTCCATGTATTCAGTTGGAGTTTGTGACTCAGTACTACCAGTCTTGAGAAGTTGTATATTTATATTTGTTCAGCTGTTAGTTTTGATTACTTTTTTAAAAAAAATGGCTTCAAAAATGTAATTGAAATCGGCTTACCTAGTCTTAGAGACTAGGTGCCATCACAACGCCTGTGGTGGGATTTTGGGTCATGACAGAACATGTCATGGAAACGGTTAAAATCCTACGAGAATAGCATAAAGCAATTATGAAAGCCCTCTCAAGGCAGGATCAGCTGATGACGGAGTTAAAACAAGCATTGTGAGGCGCCTCCAATAATGCGAACGGAAGGGGGTCGGTTCCTCCCAGTGTTCCTGCAAACCAAACATCTTAGAGAGTCGATAATAACACCCCCAAGGGGTGAAGTTGGTTTTGACGAAGCCGGAGGGACCGGTAGTGAATCTGGGAATAACAATAGGAACGATCCCTTCAAAAAACCGAGCTCATGAGGTTTATGAGGCAAATGAACGAACGGATGGATCAAAATGCGAAGGAGTTTCATGCTCGGATGGATCATATTCAGGGCGCCCCACTGGTACTAAAAGGCCCCGATTCAAAAAAATACACGCAATTGTCATTTAAACAAAGCGTAGCACCAAAGTTAATTCCAAAGATCTTTAAGATGCCGGACATACCAAAATACGGTGGGACTTCGGATCTACAGGAGCACATCACAACCTACACCACAGTTGTAAAAGGGAACGATTTGGCTCAACATGAGATTGAGTCGGTCTTGCTGAAGAAGTTTGGTGAAACCCTCACAAAGGGGGGCCTGACATGGTATTCTCTCTTACCTGATCATTCAATTGACTCTTTGAGATGTTTGCACACTCTTCATTAAGGCCCATGCCGTAGCAAGGAAGGTTCAAGCCAGAAAAACGGACATATCCAGGATTGCGCAGGGCGAGTCCGGACTGCTACGAGAATTCGTGATCCAGTTCTAGCAAGAGAGGATGTTGTTATCGGTGGTACCAGATAAGTGGGCAGCGGAGACATTCACAAAGGATCTAAATCCGCGTAGCTTCGACGCCTCCCGAAAGTTGAAGGAAAGCCTGCTCGGGTTTCAAGCAACCACATGGGAAGATGTCCATAACCGTTATGAGTAAAAAATAAGGATAGAAGACAATCATCTCGGGTTCCCGGTATCAACCAAGGAACGGGATCGAGACAAAAACTAGGACAAGTTTAAAAGTGACTTTGATCAGCGGTCCTCTAGAGGTCATTTTCTACCATATGAAATAACCGAAGGTCGTAGCAGCAAAGGATTTCAGTCATCGATAACTTTGCTCCCGATAGAAGAACCGATCGTGGCCCGAACAGCAGGTTGTTATAGGAGAAGGAGGTGCCAGGGTCCTGAGACTCTGCATATCTCAGGTTATCAGGTTACAACTTTAATATCATCTTAGTACAGTTGGTATCGGTAATGAGGAATATCAAAAAGAACTGTTCTCGAAGCCAATCTGATCTGATCCTAGCCAGAGGGATCCAAGTTTATGGTGTGAATACCTTTGGACTCATGACCATACAACCGGGGACTTCCGACATCTTCGTGAAGAGGTGGCGACATTGTTGAAGAATGGCCATCATAGGGAATTTTTAAGTGACCGAGCCAAGAACAACTATGGCGGAAGCTGGGACANGTGGGGCTATGGGAATGTGGCAGCTCTGATACCACTTTTGTCACGACCCAAACCGATGGGCCGCGACGGGCACCCGGTACCCTACTCAACCGAGTACCAGCGTAACGTATCTTTCATATCATACTATCATAGGTAAATGAGCCGAAGAGGATGTCGTGGTAAGATAAGTAAAATAAAACATGAGGAAGTACTCGACCTTTATGGTATTTATCTACTCTTAGAGGCTTGTAGACATATGTCATGTACGTGAAAGATTGTATGGCCTTGTCGGCCTATGTTCAGTATACTAGTGATCATTTTGGTCTTTTGTCGTATGTCATATGTTTAAGTTTGTATTACATATTGGGTTGTCCTATGTCAAGTACTTCCTCATATTTTATTCTACTTATCTCACGACAGCCTCTCCGTCTTATTTACCTATGATAGTATGATATGAAAGATGCGTTACGTTGGTACTCGCTTGAGTAGGGTACCGGGTGCCCGTCGCGGCCCATCGGTTTGGGTCATGACAAAATCCTTTTCAGCAGCAAAGAAAACGAAAATATCGGTGACTCACAACAAGAGACTCGAGTAGTCGCAGAAGATGACATCTCTTTCGCGGAGGAAGACATTGATGGACTTCTTCTGCCACATAACGACACTTTGGTCATCTCTCTCAATGTTTTAAATTTCAAAATTAAATGTGTTTTGGTTGACCTAGGAGGCTCAGCCAACATAATACAATAGAGAGTTTTGGAGAAAGCAAAATTAACCGAGAACATCGTTCCAGCGACAAAACTCTTAGTTGGCTTCAACTTGACAAGTGTGACAACCCGAGGAGAGATTTTGTTGCCTACACACATCGAAGGAGTCATAAAGACTACTCTATTCGAAGTAGTAGATGTCATTATGAGGTATAATATAATCCTCGGAAGGCCGTGGATACATGAGATGAAGGTTGTACCCTCAACATATAGTCAATTGTTAAAATTCCCAACCCCTGAAGGAATCAAGCAAATAATAGGAGATGAACACAATGACCATTTCCAGCAGCAAAGGGAAAGAGTCCAACAAATAACAATTATAGGAATTGATGCCTTCTCTGTTACCGAATAAAGACGATAAGAGCAACGAGTCATTGGAATCCTATTAGGTTCCAAGATACTTTCAGGTACCAGAGGAAATGGGTGAGACCAAGTCGACCATAGAGGAACTTGATAAAGTGGCCTTATTCGAAGAGTTTCTAGAGAGGAAGTTTCACCCGAGGACATGATTAAATCCCGAATTGAGGTTAGGGTTTATAAATTTTCTTAAAGTTAACGCAGACTGCTTTGCGTTGTCGCACTCAGATATGACAGGTATCCCATTGGAGGTAGTCGTTCACAAGCTATCTCCGGACCCAAATTTCCCACTGGTAAGGCAAAAAAGACGCTCGATAGCAGAGATCAGGAGAATGTTTGTTAAAGAAAAGGTAACATGATTACTCAACATTGGTTCAATCCGGGAGGTAAAATATTCAGAATAGTTAGTCAATGTAGTTGTAGTACCAAAAAAGAATAACAAGTTTAGGATGTGCGAAGACTATAAGGATTTAAATAAGGCGTGCCTTAAAGACTCGTTCTCATTGCCGAACATTGATCAAATGATTGATGCTACGATCGGACACAATTTAATGAGTTTCCTTGATGCTTACTCTGGGTACAATCAAATCAAGATGAACCCGGAGGATTAGAAAAAAACTTCTTTCATAACGAACTTTGACATATATTGCTATAATGTGATGGCATTTGGGCTTAAGAACACGGAGCCACTTAACAGAGGCTCGTTAATAAAATGTTTGAAAATCAGATAGGCAAAATAATGGAGGTATAAAATTACGACATGTTAGTCAAGTCTTTGAATGCAGGAGATCATTTGAAACACCTCCAAGAGACTTTCGACATCCTAAGGAAGCATAACATGAAACTCAACCCGAAGAAATGCGCGTTCGGGGTTGGTTCCGGTAAATTCTTATGGTTCCTAGTCTCGCAAAAAGGTACCGAGGTAAATCCTGTTAAAATCAAAGCTATCGAAGATATTCTAGACCAATTGATAAGTGTGAAGAAAGTACAAAGGCTGAACAGAAGGTTGGCATCTCTAAGCAAATTCATCTCAAGATCCTCTGAAAAGTGCCATCACTTCTTTTCACTATTGAAAAAGAAGAACGATTTTGAATGAAATTCGGAATGCCAATAGGAATTGAAAGACCTAAATAGGTACTTATCGAGCCCCATGTTACTATCAAAACCGGGGGAAGGAGAACAATTGTTAATATATTTAGTGGTCTCTAGGGGTAAGTGTCGTTTTGGTCCTAGAAGAAGAAGGTACGAAATTTCCCATTTATTACGTTAGTAAAATATTGTCTGGAGCAGAAACCCATTATTCACACCTTGAAAAGCTGGCCTTAGCTCTCGTAGGTGTCTCTCAAAAGCTCAGACCTTATTTTCAATGCCACCCGATAGCCATTGTGAAAACCTTTCCCTTAAGGAATGCCCTTCACAAGCTTGAGTTGTCAGGTCGCTTGGCTAAATGGGCAATCGAAATTAGTGAGTTCAACATTTAGTACAAACTCAGGACTGCGATTAAGTCATAAGTTTTGGCCAACTTTATGGCCGATTTCAGTCCGGGTTAATGCCCTTGGCTGCTAAAGAGGCAGTGCTGGTGTCGGAAACGACATTGGAGTTTGGAACTTGTTTATGGATGGATCTTCCAATGTAAAAGGGTTCGGTCTCAGGATAGTTCTAATCGCACCCTTGGGGGAAACCCTGAGGCAGGCCATTAAAATTGTTCTGTTAACTAACAATGAAGCCGAGTATGAAGCTTTGGTTGCAGAACTTGAACTAGCCTTGTGGCTATGCTCTGAGGTCATTAAGATAAAATGTGATTCCCAGATGGTAGTAAACCAAGTGTATGGGATTTTCGACACGAAGGAAGAACGCATACAATAGTACTTGAACAAGGTTCAACATTGCTTGTACGATTCAAGGAATGGTCAATCATACGTATTCCAAGGGAAGAAAATGTGGAAGTAGATGCACTAGCTAATTTGGGGTCATCCACATAAATGAAAGGGTCTGACAGCAGAACGGTCATCCAACTTCTTCATTCAGTGCTGGACGTGGATGGTTATTGTGAGGTAAATTCGTCCAACTTCGTCTGGGACTGGAGGAACGAGTTCATCGAGTATCTCCGGTATGGTAAATTACCTGAGGACCTGAAGGCGTCTCGGGCACTAAGGACTAAAGCAGCTCGCTATTGCCTCGTAGATGTGCAGTTATACAGAAGATCATACGAAGGACTATTGTCCCGATGTCTGGGAGCCTCGAAGGTGTATTACGTGATGAGGGAAGTCCACGAAGGAATTTCTGGGAATCATTCTGGTGCAGATTCGCTAGTTCTAAAGTTGATCAGGGCAGGTTACTATTGGCCTCGGATGGAACATGACGCAAAGATGCTCATTCAGAAGTGTGACCAATGTCAACGCCATGCACAGTTGATGCACCAACCAACAGAACTCTGGCATTCTGTGTTGTCCCCATGGTTATTCATGAAATGGAGGATGGACATAGTTGGTCCTCTGCTACCGACCCCCGGAAAGGTAAGATTTGTTTTAGTTTTAACTGACTACTTCACTAAATGAATTGAAGCAGGTCCTTACCAGAAGATCGGGGAGCGCGAAGTGATCTACTTCATATGAGACCACATAATCTGCCGATTCGGAATATCGAAGGAAATTGCCTATGACAACGGGTCGCAGTTCATAGGTTCAAAAGTCACAAAACTTTTGGAAGATTTGAAAATCAAGAGGATTACATCTTCATTGTTCCATTCAAGTGCTAACGGACAGGCGGAGTCAACCAACAAGGTAATTATTCAGAACTTTAAAAAGAAGTTAGAACATGTTAAAGGCAAATGGCCCGATGAGCTACCGGGAGTACTTTGGGCATATCGGACAACGGCAAAATCGAGCACGGGAGAAACACCTTTATCTCTTGTGTATGGTGCGGCAGCTCTAATACCGATGGAGGTAGGGGAACCAACATTAAGGTTTTCCCAAACAAACGAAGAAGCAAATAATTAAGCATTGTTGGTAAGGCTGGACTTCCTCGATGAACACAGGGACTTGTCATACGTGAGGATGGTGGCTCAAAAGCAAAGGATAGAAAGATATTATAATCGCAGGGCCAATCTCCGTTATTTCAAAGTAGAAGACTTGATTTTGAGAAAGGTGACTCAGAGCAATCGGTAAGTCAATGCCGGGAAGCTGGGACCAACATGGGAATGTCCACACCGGGTTTCATCTATCACCGGTAAAGGGATATACGAGTTGTAAAATCAAGATGGAGTCAAATTGCCCAGCAATTGGAACGTGACTCACCTCAAAAGAAATTATTGATGATGGATGCTACCAATACTGAAAGTATGTGCCGCACTCTATTTTCCTTCGTCCAGTTTTTGTCCCGATCGATTTTTTATTGCAAGGTTTTTAACGAGGCTGCGACGGAAAGCATACTACGAAGGAAATGTCATCGTCAAAGGCAAGAACTTTAAATATCAATGCACAAAATTTTCACATTGATGGTAAACGGCTATGTGGATGATTAAATAATCTTTGGTTCGGTGGCAAACTTTGCCTTCCATCACTAAAAAGGGATTATTTAACCATTCACAAGTCATTTTCACCGGTGAAGCAAGACTTCCAGTGTTCAAATTTACATGCTTTGCATTCGAACACTGGGGGAATAATATTTGATACGACACCTAGAGTGCCACGAAAACCAAGGACTATTAGAACCAGGATCAATAATGTCTCATCAGGATCAAGAACTGCATGATCAGCCTCGAAGAAATAAGTTATACAAGTTAATCACATGTATTGGCAGTTTTATTTACTTTAGCATGATGCTTATCTACTTTTAAAGATAGAAGGAATAAAATTAAGTCCTTTTATTTTTATCTTACTTCTTGTCCAAATGATGAGTTAAATTTATCGTTTGAAAGTTAACTAAAACTTCAAATGCTTGTGCCAGAATGAACAAGAGACATCCTCTTCAAGAGCACCGTAAAAATAAGGGATCTCTCTTATGAAACCCTCATAGTAAAGGGTATATTCTGGAAGACTTTATGCCCTGAATCAAAAGCTATCAGATGAAAATATACTTGAAGCTTTAATCGATTGAACACAAAAGAAATATTTTTGCACAACACTTAAGCAAAAAAATATTTATTTATTATCATGTGCCAAACTCGGTAAAAATTTGGCACAATTACAAAATACAAAAAAAGGGAAAAAAAGAAAAAGAAGTTATGCATCGTTGCCACCATAACCCGAAAGGAGAGAGGGATCTACGTTTCGCCTGGTACAGGAAGGCGGATCTACTGCCGGTTTGGGGCCTTCATCTTCATCAGTCTCCCCTTTGATTTTCGAGTACTCGGAGTCAGTACTCGAGGAGTCAGTCGCAGCGGGTCGGGTAGGAAGATTTTCATGAGTAGACAACTCCAGTTCTCGGGTATAGGCAATACAATCGTCTATGTTGGTGATGCCCACTTTGGCCTCCTCAAAAGTCTTTCTCTTCATATGATATATAGCATAGGTTTTCTCAAAGACAAGGAAATCTGCTTGATACTGGATTTGAGCTCGAAGTTTATCCATTTTGGCTTGAAGACCGTCTCTTTCAGATCTCATGGCTCGGAGGTGAGAGTCAAGGTCAATAGTTTTAGATAAGTGGATCCGATTTTTCTCCATGACTCTCTTAAACCTCTGTTCCATTTTGGCCCTCTTCTCCTCGACGGCATTGGCCTCTCCGATTTTTGAGTGTAAGTCTGCCTTCAAATTATTGATTTTCGCTTCGAAGGCAGACTTGCATTCGGCACCGGCAAGTACACCGTCATGAAGCTAGTCCAACTTAGCCTTAATCTCTTGAAGCTTTTCGTGAAATTGAGCGGCTTCCTGGCTGTGGGACATTTTATCTTGTTCACTCTACTGCAATCGAGCCTCAAGCTTGCCCATCTCAGCAACCTTTGCCTCCAACACTAGGAGGCGCGCAGCAAGCTGGTTCCTTTCGGCCAAAAGTTGATCCCGCTCGAAAGTAAGTCATTGCTTATCAAGGAACAGCCTTTCGAGGCCTTCAGAAGCAAGACAGATGGCCTATAAAAAAGAATATTAAAGTTAGGATTTCCATTGCTTGGATAAAAGATGGCACTCTTTCTAAACCGAAAGAGAGGCACTTCTCCTCCCTTGAGGATCTGGGAAAGAAGTAAATAATCATGACTCAAGTTCCCGTGATCAGGAAATCAAGGAGGAGAGGTGTCTTTTTCTTGTTCATATGGTACCGGTGGAGGAGATGTAGTTGTTGCTGGTGGAACGGAGCAGCTCGTGTCGATGGGCGTGAACCAATCAGTGTGGAAGGTGAAGAAGCGGTGGTGGCAGAAGAAGTGTTGATTGTTATTTGCTCAGTGGTCGAAGGCAGAAGAGACCCAGGGTCCGAACTCCTTGGACCAGAAACAACAATGGGGGCCGGAAAGAGAGAATCATCATTCTCTACTAGGTCCATATCATCCCAAAGTACTTGGGTTTCTTCTACGGTCGGGTTTTGAAGCTCCCCCGACTGAGCCAAAAGAAGATCCTTTTCTCCCGAGAAGGGAAGCCTCTTCGTCACTCACTTCCCCTTCATCAACGAGGACCACTATGGTCGGCTCGGATGGCGTTTTCCTTACTTTCTTCTCTTGAGCCTCAGCCGAGGAGGAGCGTCTTATCTTTGATTTTTTACTCTCGGGCTGGGGACTCTAAGAAGAGGCACCCTCACCAGAGGCTCGAATAGATCCATGAGCTCTGCTCTGGGCAAAGGCATTTTCCAACACCCTCATGGCCTCCTCGGAATCAACTAAGGCGTCGACCTCGCGGCAAATGACAGAGCCCCTTGGAAGTCCTGTATTGGGCCAAAAAATAGAAGTTAGAAGTTTGTTCATGAAGATTTTTTATGTACGAACAAGGGTAAAAGAAAGGATGTTTTGACCCACTACAACAAAAAAGACCTTTAGCGGCAATAAAAATACTTCTTACTAGCAATGAAAATGGCCGCCAAAACTTTTACCGGCAATTGATTATTGGTCGGTGTTGCTGGCGCCGGCAAAGGCTTTAGCGGCCATTAGAATACTGGTAAAGACCCATATTATGGCCGGTAAATGTCAACAAGTTCTGGCGGAAATTATTTACCAGCAATTACAATTGCCACTAAAGCTCCAAAACAATTTCATATATAACACATTTTGCGGCTTTTATTATTGTCGCTAAAGACAAATTCAATTGCTTGTAGAAGAAACACCATCTAGCAACAATTGTGATTGCCACTAAACTATCCCTGCATTCATCATCTTTTACATATTTATGGACTTTTGTTATGGTCAGTGTAAAATTATCTTACTACCATATAGGAAGACATTTTAATAACTTTTCTTATTGCAATTAAAAGTAAATAATAATAATAATAATAATAATAATAATAATAATAATAATAATAATAATCCATTTTAAAATGCTTAATGCACTCCATTAAATCCACATCAAACAAAATAATTACTAATTCATAAGTTCAAAATGTCGACAATATGATAAAGAAGCTAAGCTATTTGAATCTAATTACTAGCGTAATCTTTTGATAACTTGTTTTGTCAAATGGCTATAAACTAGAAAATAAGCAGCACGAAATTCTCTTGCCCTTGATCATAATGAAGGTTGCCACATGCCAAATACCTAAATATCAAAATATATGACCTAAAATGATAAAATAAAATGAATATCAAACATACAACCATATATGAAATTCTTCAAGAATCAAGAAAATAATTATGCAATATTTACATACTCTGTCACGACTCAAAACTTAGCATGTCGTGATGGCGCCTAACATGGTACTAGGCAAGCCGACAACTCAATAAATTCCAACAC